CGGCCCCGGCCCCGGCCCCGGGGATGCCGCGGGGGCGGCGCGGCTGAGCCCCCCAGCCCCGCTGCGCCGCCGGCCCCGCCCGCCGCCGCCATGGCCGGCAAGCCCCGCAGCGGCTGCGAGGCGCTCCGGGTGGTGGCCCGGTGCCGGCCCATGAGCCGGCGGGAGGAGGCGGCGGGATACGAGCGCGTCTTGGAGCTGGACGTGAAGCTGGGCCAGGTGAGCATCCGCAACCCCCGCGCCGCCCCCGGGGAGCTGCCCAAGACCTTCACCTTCGACGCCGTGTACGACGCCAGCTCCAAGCAGGCCGATCTGTACGATGAGACGGTGCGGCCGCTCATCGACTCGGTGCTGCAGGGCTTCAACGGCACCGTCTTCGCCTACGGCCAGACCGGCACCGGCAAGACCTACACCATGCAGGGCGCCTGGGCCGAGCCGGAGAAGCGCGGCATCATCCCCAGCGCCTTCGAGCACATCTTCACGCACATCTCCCGCTCCCAGAACCAGCAGTACCTGGTGAGGGCCTCGTACCTGGAGATCTACCAGGAGGAGATCAGGGACCTCCTCGCCAAGGACCAGAGCAAGAAGCTGGAGCTGAAGGAGAACCCCGAGACGGGGGTGTACATCAAGGACCTCTCCTCCTTCGTGACCAAGAACGTCAAGGAGATCGAGCACGTGATGAACCTGGGGAGCCAGACGCGCTCCGTGGGCAGCACCAACATGAACGAGCACAGCTCGCGCTCCCACGCCATCTTCCTCATCACCATCGAGTGCAGCGAGACGGGGCCGGACGGCGAGGAGCACATCCGCGTGGGCAAGCTCAACCTGGTGGACCTGGCCGGCAGCGAGCGCCAGAACAAAATGGGGGCCCACGGAGAGCGCCCCAAGGAGGCCTCCAAGATCAACCTCTCCCTCTCCGCCCTGGGCAACGTCATCTCCGCGCTCGTGGACGGCAGGAGCACTCACATCCCCTACCGGGACTCCAAGCTGACCCGCCTGCTGCAGGACTCCCTGGGGGGCAACGCCAAGACAATCATGGTGGCCACCCTGGGCCCGGCCTCCCACAGCTACGACGAGAGCCTCTCCACGCTCAGGTTCGCCAACAGGGCCAAGAACATCAAGAACAAGCCCCGGGTGAACGAGGACCCCAAGGACACCTTGCTGCGGGAGTTCCAGGAGGAGATCGTCCGGCTGAAAGCCCAGCTGGAGAAACGCGGGATGCTGGGCAGGAAGAGGAGAAGGAGCAGCCGGAGGAAGAAAGCCGTGGACGGAGAAGGCACCGTGGAGAACGAGGGGGAGGACGACAACGAGGACGGCCTGGAGAAGAACATGGAGAACTACTTGAAGGAGCAGAAGGAGAGACTGGAAGAGGAGAAGGCCGCTATCCAGGACGACCACAGCCTGGTGAGCGAGGAGAAGCAGAAGCTGCTCCAGGAGAAGGAGAAGATGATCGAGGACCTGCGGAAGGAGCAGGAGGCCACGGAGCTGCTGGCCATCAAGTACAAGGTACGTGTCCCCACACGCCGTCACGACCTGCTGTGCCCCCAGCCCCTCACGGCGCGTGGGAACGGGCCCCAAATTGGGAGCCTGTGCCAGGAGCACACCCAGGTGGCCAGGCAAGGGGGGCCCTCAGCAAGGTGTCCAGGCAGGGCCCCCAGGAGACCCTGACCCACGCCGATGTGTGGGGCTGGGCAGGGGTTGGCCTCTGGCGTGGACGTGCTTTGGAACCCTGTGTGGAGCTGCAGGGAGGCGGGTGGGAAGGGCCGTGGGGGAGTGGGTCACTGGTGGCACGAGTTTGCTGTGCTCAGCTCCGGTCCCCCTCGGCACAACAAAGCAGCTTGTGGCAGGGAGGGGGAGTGACGGGAGTGATGCTGCAGATTCGTCCCCGGTGGCACCAGGAGCGTGCCCAGGGCTGGTGCTGGGGACACTGTGCACCTGCCCCCCACCAGCCCCCCACTTTGTGCTGGGCTGGGCAGGGCTGTGAGCCCCTGGCACGGCCTGGCAGCTCTGCGGGGACCCCTGCCCCTCTCCCAACCCCAAAGCCTTCCTGGCACCCTGAGCCGGAGCAGGGTGGGTGGGGGCACGTAACTGGCTCCACCACCGGCTCAGGGATGCTCAGGGATGTGGGGCTGGGGGTGAGAGGGGCCATGGCAGCCCCAGCCGTGCCGGGGGTCTGGGGCTGCACCTCTGCCCCCACCCCAGCCCTGCTCCTGCCCCTGCCCCGTTGAGGCTGGGGGGTCCTGACCCCCCCTACGTGCCCTTGGCAGCTGTGGGGCCGTGACCACAGTGAGGGTGGTGGGGAGGGAGCCCCAGCCCCCTGACTGCCATGCCGTGCTCTGGCACAGCCCCTCGGGCACCGGGGTGGCCCAGATGCAGCGACAGGGCTGGGGCACAGGCAGGGGCCCCTCTGGGGGGGACGTGCTCGGGGTGTCAGGGCTGAGCTGGGGGTTCCAGACCCTCCCCCGTGGGCAGGGCTGTGTTTGTTGCAGCCCCGGGGAGGCTGGGCCGTGCCCAGGGACGCGTGGCCGTGCCCAGGGATGCGTGATCATGCCCAGGGATGCGTGGCCGTGCCTGGATGCCTGCACAGAGACCCGTGGGAACCCACTGGGATGTGCCGCTGGGGCACTGGTCCCTGGCTGGCACGGCGGGTGTCCCGTGGCAGTTGTCCTGGAAGAGCAGGATGCCCAGCCCGGTCCCCACAGCCATCCCCTCGCCACGGTGGGGGGTGGGTTGTGGGGTGCAGGCTGTGGGGTGCAGGTTGTGAGGTGCAGGCTGTGGCTGGCAGCCGTCCAGCGTGGTCTCCTCATCTGGCACAGCACAGCGGGGCTGGCCCAGGGCCACTGTGTGTCCTGGAAGTGCTGAGTAACAAGGCAGGGCCGGAGGCGAGGTGACACCACGTCCCCTTGGGTGGCCTTCAGAGCCTCTCCCTACACGGGGATCCTCTGGCCGGGGGGTACAGCACAGTCACAGCAGTGAGGGGTCACCTCAGGGAGCAGAAATCCCCCCCTGCGTCAGCCCAGCGCTCACCCCACGGGGCACTGTCTGGGGGACACTGTGGGGGACACTGGGTGGCCTCCCGGTGCCCACGGGCAGCCCTGGCACACAGCAGGGCCAGGCAAGGAGCCACTGGCTCTGTCGTGGCCGTGGCAAAGGCAGCCAGGGTGACTGTGGGGACACGGGGTGCCCCCCACACCCAGGGGGGACACACTCGGGGGGACCCGTGTGTCATCACGCTGGTGGGCGTGGACTCTGCCCCTGCCACCCAGCTGGGTTGGTGGGCACCACAGAGCACAAAGAGGTGGGGGCCAGCCTGCCCAGATGTGCTCCTGGGCTCCCAGATGTGCTCCTGGGCTCCCAGATGTGCTCCTGGGCTCCCAGCTGTGCCCAGGGGGCGGGGCAGTGCCGTGGACAAGCCGGGTGTGGGTGTGGGTGTGGGTGTGGGTGTGGGTGTGGGTGCTGTGGGCCCTGATGGCTCTGCCGGGGGCTGAGGCCGAGGTCAGCGGGAGGGAAAGTGCTGGAAAGTTATTTGGGTGCCGGAAATAAGTTCCCGGGAGGGGCTTAGTGCTAAAGGGGATTGGGAGGCTGCTGGGTGGAGGGAATAAGTGCTCTGGCAGGGAGAAAACAGCGGCACTAAGAAACCCCTTAATCCGGCGGGGAGGGGAGGCAGCAGCATCGTCCCTGCACCCCAGCAGGGGTAGGGGACACTCAGCATCCCAGGGGACAAGTGGGGCCAGGAACGGGGTTTGGAGGAGAAGGGTGAGGGGCCTGGAACACCCCCGTGCCCCCAGCGCAGCTGCTCCGGGAGCCCTGGCAGGGGGTGGCACAGGATCGAGTCGGGGGCTGCCCTTGGGGTCCCACCCC